ATCGCACAATTAGATGTAGTGGGCACCACAATCGCACCTAACTGCTACATCTACTCTCTTCCTTGCAGTTGCAGCGGATTCCACTAAAGCTCCACCATCTGCATAATTTCTTCCAGCTGAAGTGGGCATACAACAGCATCACCATCTACCCTTGTAGTTGCAGCGATGACGAACACATTTTCCACACTATTACTGAACAGTAGTAGTCATCACAGCACTACCGTCCACAACAGCAACACAGCAACACGATCCGCACGATTTCTTGCATCTGGAGCATGCCCACAAAGACAACACATTCACTACTTTTCTTGTTGTTGCAGCGGATGCCACCAAAACTCACCATCCGCAAAATTTCTTGTAGCTGTAATGGGGCTCACAAAGGCAACACGATCTAATAAACAGGGTGTCCCAAAAAATGTGAACATGTTCGATCGTTAATAACTTCCCTTGCTTTCATGTCTTTCACCGAGCTTGACGCACTCGGCACAGCGAGTTTCAACTTAGAGTCAAAGTATGGAGCAAATTATCGATTGCTCTTCATTACTGTAGGATTACAGTAGGAACTACGGCAAGGTCTTCAGGCTATTAGAGGTCATATTCTGCCTCGGAACAAAAATAAACAACCACAAGCTCTTATATGTACTTTGGTAATGGGAGCCGCTGATTTCGAATATAAAATTTCAACTTTACTGTGATGCTTCATTCCAAAGTTATTCCAGGTAAACCGTAATAACTGAACTCCTAGCATTTGTAAGAAATGGAATCACACCGTCAAAAAAGCTGAAAACATTCGTAATAGGTTGTGTAGTGGAATCAGCGTGCGTTAAAATCCTATACGCGACTTTTCAGATTTTTTGAAAAAAGTTTGGCGGATGACATATTTCACAATGGTTCAACATGCTGGAACTTATTACCGTAATCCTACAGTAACGAAGAGCAATCGCTGGTTCGTCCCATACTATAAATCTAAGTTGAACCCCGCTCTACAGAATGGTGCCCCAGGCTCGGCCAAGGACACGAAGGCAAGGGACTTGTTAACGATCAAACAGTGTTCACATTTTTTGGGACGCCCTGTATTTATTTCTTGCAGTCATAGCAGAGCAACACCATCCGCACAATTCTTTGCAGCTCTACTAAACACCACAACAGCATCACCAGCTACTACATTTAATGTTGTGGTTTACGCTGATGCCACAACAGCATCGCTATCTACTTTATTCCTTGCAGTTGCAGCAGATATTACTACAGCAACACCATCCGCACGATTCCTTGCAGTTGCTCGTGCGCCTACACGGTAACACCATCTACTTTTCTTGTAATTACAGAAGATGCCGCCAAAGCATGTATTCCACACGATTTCTTGCAGCGTACTGGTCGCCACAACAGCAACACCATCTACTTCATCTGCTCCATTGGTTGTAGTTGCAACAAATACCATAGCAGCATCACCACCTTGCATCCTCTTGCAGCTGAGTGACATCGCAGCAACAACCAAAGTTCAATCCCACGTTTCCTTTTGGGATGCTTGGCAAATATTAGGTGGGACCGAATGTTCGTGCCGTTTTTCTGACCCACACCCAAACCTTTGGAATAACGGTAGACAAACGCTAAGCAGCATTCGATGCAGAAATTCTTGCTCATTCTAATAGTCATGTTCCTGTTCAGATTCCTTTGATGTCCGCTCAAATAATCGTCAAAATC